GGATTTAGGAAGTAGCTGTTTTATTCCCAGAAGATTTTCCTTCCAGCTAAGATTTGTTTCTCTAGCTCAAACCACAAAGCCACTTTTACCCTCCCTAAAAGACTTCAGTCTGTGTAAGCTGCAGTGTAGGACATACTTATTATCCCCCAGTGGGTATTCATTGCCCCTCTCCTCCTGCTTTTTCAATTTCACTTTCTTTTTATTAATTAATGAGCTCCCTTAATTATTTATAGAAGCCTTAAAATGCATGAGGGTTGGATTCCAGTGTCTCTTCCTTGGCACCCTGCACTGTTTTGCCACAGGAAGGGCACAAATTCCTTCCCAAAGGCATGAAGAGTGTTAGCTTTAATTGGCAGGGTCGCAGCACATCATTATGCACTGGGGGCAAAGCACAGCAGCTCCTGTGGCACACTTAAATCAGTGAGTTCTTTACAGCTCTATGGGCAGAATAGGCCTGGGCAGGGCCTTGACCATCCTCTTGCTGTTTTCAGGCTGGCACAGGACAAATTCAGTGGATTGCAGGTCTGTTCTGTCGTGCACCCAAAAGGCTGTGGCATGCTGCCTGAGGGGCATTACAGCAGCATTCTGCTTTGTGGGTTTTTTATTTCTTTATCAGAGGGGCAGCAACAGGACTGCTTTTAACTACTCCTTTGGCAGACCTATATTACACATTCCTTGGAACCCAGCCCTTCAGTCCAGCTTACTATCCCCAGATCTTTCCCTTTCCAACTGTGGCTCAGAGCTACCAAATTAGCCCCCAAAGGTACTTAGTGTTGTCGTATCCACATTGATGCTGGATAGTGTGGGAGGAGGCACAAGGAGGATGACAGTGCAGAGGAGAAGGGAGCAGTTCAGTGCAGAGATTCAGACTGGCAGACAAGTTGTGTCACTTTGTGGTGCTTTATGACCTTGAGACACTGTCTCAATAAATCATGCCAAGTAATTAAAACCATAATTTAGAACTTAACTAGTGTGTCAGAACACTGGGTGTACGCTGGTGATGCCTGTTTTCCTTTCCTCTCCCCTCCCCCCCCAGCATGACGCTGGGCTCCAGCAGAGTAAAACCATCTACTGAGGGCAAAAACTCAAACATAGTGGCTTGCCGCCAGCCACTGGAATACAAATAGGTTGATCCAGGCCAGGCAGTATCTGCAGGTACCCTGGAGCCTCCTGTGGCACCTCTGTGGCCTCCTCTGACACTGCAAGCAAAACCACAGGTTCTCCTGCAGCATAACTATTTCCTCACTCCTTTAAATGGAAAGCAGATGTGTCTCATTTACTTGTGACCCTGAACACTGAGACTAGTAGCAAGGCAAGATATGGGGCACTTTACAAAACAAAATAGAACTCAACGAAGTTGCCAAGTTAAGGACATCATTTACCTGTCTGTGGGATTGTTAGAAAATAGGTTTTTATTGGTGGTAAGGGATAAAGGATTGCCAGGTTTTGATACCATCTGTCCCCATCCTATGGCCCAGCACAAAGTACAACACAGCTGAGTTGTCTTGTCAATGTGGGGGAGTCTCAGCTCCTGTGTTGTCCTTCTTGGCAGTGTCAGTAGTGAAATCGGGCGTGAAAATGAGAAACCTTCTCAGTAAGAAGGGCAGAAGGAAGAGGAGAAAGTAAGAGCTCTTCATTAGACCCCGAGTGTGACAGTGCACCTTAATCTGGGACAGAGCAGGACCGTAGCAGTGTTTCTGGCAGGTTCAGTCCACATGGTACTTCTACCATGAGAGACAAAACAAATGCAGGAGCATAGTATCCCAAATGCTGGATCTCTAGCCTGGACTCAAGCTTCTCATTATGTGACCAGTTAGACAGCAGCAGTCTGCCTGATCCTGGGGCAGGAGCTGACCCAGAGCACAATTGCAGGTGGAGATACCAGATCTGTGGGAGCAGGCAAAAAACCAAACTAGGATTTAGCAGTGCCTGACAGTGAGGACATGGCTGGGTACGTCCATGCAAGAGGAGCAGAGGAATGCAGCAAACTAAGCTGTGTTCCTCAGTGGGCAGCGTCGAAGGATGAAGGTGTTTCTGTATTTATCTTGCACTTGTTTGGGAGAAAGAGTACAGAACATAAGTGTATCTCTTACAGAGTTCATTTACTTTGGCAGAGGTCCCCACTGGTTTTCTTTTACAAATGAAGCAACCCAGAGAGGATATTCTCACCTTTCCTTAAGCTGTACAGAAGCCTGTCACCACCAGCTGGGTCTGCATTGTTCCCCACCCCTGTCATTTTGGGGGCTGCAGCAGAGCTTATTTCTGCTGGTTGCCTCCCTGCTGGCACTTAATCTGCTGAGTACAAACCCATCACACAACAAAACCCAAAGAGTTAGTTAGTTTTAAATTTGGGTCATTTAAAAACCCATTGTATCTCTTGTAGTTGGGTTCTGCAGTGTGTCATCTCCTCAGGCAGCAGGGCAGCAGAAGATCCAGGTCTCTTATCAAATCAGTGCCACACGGGGGACAACCTGGTGCAGCCCATCTGGATCAGATTAAGTTTGACTTAATTCTTTTTTCCTCTTTTGGCAAGAGCTTTGGTACTTCATTTATTAAAACACAAACCTGACTCCATGCTGTAATTGCCCAGCTTGACAATAATAAATCTTACAAGCAGGTTTGCAGTTTTCATGCTTGAAGTAATGATTTACACTCATTCACACAAAATTTGAGGGCCACAGCTTATTTTTACTGCTATGTATTTGGAAGTCAGTGCAACAAACTGAGGAAGTGTGGTGTTCCACATTGGTGCAAGGGAAAACAGCCTGCACCACTGCCCAGTGAACAGGGTTGCCTTTCAGTTGAGGAGCAGAGGTCTGTGCTGCACCACTAGCTGGAGGCAGTAGGCAGTACCTGAACCCTCAAGGGACAGCTCTGGTATGGTTTTCTTTGTACCATTCTCTGACCATAAATCTCACGAGCATTTATAGTTTGAGCTGATATTTCTCATGCCTGGTTGATGATCAATGAGTTATTAATGTAGAAAGTTAAAGCAGGATCTACTTAGTTTGCATTGCAAACAAATAATTGCCTGCATGGTTTGGAGCAAAATGGGATCCTTATTTTGGATGGAAGTTAGACCAGCAAAGCACACTGGGATATTAATGTAGCGTTCTGTTTTCAGCTTCATGCAGAGATGACATTTAGGCTATGGCTATACTACTTTTCTTGGCTATTCTACTTCCTGGTGTACTTGTCTGCACTACGCATCCTGGGGTGTTATGTCAGTAATTCCTTTAGTACTGGGCTTGAATTCAAGGCTGTTCCCATTGCTGGGCCCTGGTTTTCCTGCCAGTTGTGATGCAGCTTGCCTGGCTCTGGGGACAGCAAGAAGCCTGGAGCTGCCACACTCGTATAGATACCCTTGCAACACCTGGCTGCGACACAGGCAGAAGAAATATGGGACTAGATCTCAGTAAGGACTAGCTGCTTAGCCCAGCTCGGGGAGAAAAGAGAAATGCCAATAGGAACAAGTTAAAAATAGCTCCAGGGGGACAGAACTATCTTCTAAATTTGGAACTGCCTATTTCATTTTGCCAGTTTTGTCCGTTCAGGGACACTGTTATCTGCATGGTCTGAAATAGAGGAAGGGGAGCTGAGGATAGTGGGAGCAGACACAGAGCCATGGGAATGCTGGGGACACACTGGATTCATTGCTCCTGTGACCAAGGGAGCTGTAGACCTGTCCTTTGGATTTCTTTCTGCTTATCACAAAGGTATAATAATTATGATGAAGACAACGAAGATCAAACTAGAGGCTCTGCTCACAGGTTTCTGGCAGTTCTCAGTTGCACAACAGGGCAGCAGGTCCATCATGGTGCCTGATAACCAGCAGCAAAGCCCTGGCTGTCTGCTATGGCTGGGCGAGATCATTAGGGATGCGCTTAGAGTGTTCATAAGCACGGAGCCACCGCTGTGGGGAGGCCTTGAGCCTGAGAGCTGCAAGTGTGTTATTGTGTGTGCCTGATGCCTGCCTCATGACTGCCTCACCCTCCCTCTTTCTGCTGTGTTTGTAATGCTAGATGTGAAAAATTAGCAAGATTCCCTCCATGCAAACAGTGGGAGGAAGCCTGCCCCTCCTCGTTTATGCAATATGAGCAAAGGCAGAATGTCACATTATCAACAGGACAGGGTTATCTTGTGCTTTACTGCCTGACTCAATGCATTTCACTGATGTCACAGATTTATATCTGAGAGGGTTTGATCTGTTTGGGTTAGCAGATGGGTTCTCCAATCATACTTCTAAGGTGAAATATTGAGTGACTTATTTATTGATCCTGTCTCCTTCAGATAATGTTTTACATTGTGCTGATTCAGGCCAGCGAAGGCCCAGGCATGGCAGTGCTCTGGACAGAGCAGTCTTTGGCGCTTTACTGGCAAAACCCTGGCCAGATGCATGCTGGACTCACCGTATGGCAGAGGGGTTTGCTGGCTGCTCCCCAGCCTTGCCTGGAGGTGGCCAGCCCTGGAGCAGTACTTCATAGCCCATGGCTTTTGTTCAGAAAGACAGGAGATTTGTTTAAAGAGGAGCAACCATGATAATACTTCAAAGTCAAGTAATTCTTTTCAATGGGGAACAGGAATATGATACTGACAGCATCAGTGTGAGGCTCCCACAGCAACATGCCTCCAAATCCAAGCAGCTGACATTGATCTCCTGTAGGCTGAAAGGAGGGGTTGCCCAAACCCACCCTCTCCATCTGCAGACCCCAAAGATGCTAGTTACATTTCCTGCAGAGCTTTAGTTATCACTCAGATCTTCAAGTCAAATGGAAAAAAATGTAATAATTGTGCATCAGTGAGCCAAAGGAGAAAGAAAAAGATGAAATATTCCAAAATATCAAATGCAAATATTGGCTTGCCCCATCCCCCCCAACATTGGTTATTACTGAAAAACCAAGTTTGAAATGCACTTTGCACACAGACTCATCATAAATAAGGCTGCTTTGCATTTCATCAGCCTTATTTTCCCTATGGGTTCACTGTCATCTCTCATTTAGGCACCACAGGGATGATCAACTTCAGAAAGAAGTTGAGATGGAAGGCGCCAAAATGTAAGTGGGTAAAAAACTTCCACTCCACAGGTTCATGAGCACAGGCGATTGAGTCTGAAGGAAAGCAACTTCTGTATCAATAGTGTTAAGATTTGATGAAGTCACAATTTGCTTTTAAAGTGTTTAGTGACAATATTTGGTATTGTCTGTGACGCTGGATGCCGTACTTTGGTGATCACTGTGAAACTAGGAGTTGCTGTGCACTGAGGGAGAGATGCCAGCAGTATGTTAATAATTTGTTACTTAATTTCTATTTCAGAGTGGTTTATGAATTATAGCTGTTAGCTATAAGGAAAGAAAAAAGGTAAAGATAATGGAATTCAGATTAAGAGATGCAGTAAGAAAGGATGTATCTATGGCTGTGATGTCTCAGGTAGGATTCAAATCTGGGTTCAGCTTCCATGTTTCTATTAGATCCAGGGCAAATCTATCTTGTGCCCCGGTTTCCCAGGTGCTAAATGGGGTTGGAATATCCCTTTCTCTGAGGCATTGCCTGCAGTGACCAACAAGCGTAGCCTGAAAGCCGAATCAGTGACTTCAGAAGAACACCCACAAGCCTGAATAAGCCCAGGACCTGCTGACCACAGGATGCAATGACTGTGATCTGTGGATGTGCCTGAGCAGAGTAAGGGTAACCTGAGGGTTGGCCGAGGAGGAAACTGGCCCACTCACACATAGAAGAGCACAGGAACGCTTTGACTTTGACTAGGGCTTACAAGAGAAAACACAAAGACTAATAATACTAGACAACTGATTAAAAATACCTTGACAGCAACAAAAAAGGGATAAGGTGAGATCAGTTTCTATCTTTCAGTGCAGTCTGGTACATGTGGATGTGCACAGAATAGCTTTGGGAAAGGTGAAGTAATACTCCAGACCCTAATATTTTTATTTAAATCATTTTTATTTGTTTTCTATGCAGTTATCTTCCAGAAGGGGATTATTTCAAGACATCTGAGCAATACAGCAGAGCTAATCCACATGTGGCTCAGTAAAAGCCCTCCAGAGATTTATGTACCTCGTATACATGTATTTTTCTTCTTATTTGGCAGTGTGTTTATTCTTTTGGAGAGCAGTGTCTTGTAGGTCAGTATAAGGTGCCTTTGGAGACTTGCAGGTGCAGAGAATTACTCTGGCTGCCATTAGCAGGTTTTTATACAGTATGGCTTCCTTCTGTATTGGAATGACTCAGGAGTAGCTTTCAGACACCCATCACGCATAATGCTTCCAGATAGATCATCCAGACTGTGTTTTGTGTCCACTTTTATAGCTATGGATGGTGCTTAGTCAGGCAATTTGCAGAAGGTCGTGGAATTAAGTGGTAAGTGAACGTTTTCAGCCCAGCATCCTTATTAGTTCCCAGCCCTGCCTTAAACACATACGGCCAAAAAGGGTCAGGTTTTCCTGCCGTCCAGCAGATCAGCAGTTGCTTCCCTTCCCTCCTGCTCTCTCCTGTGGCATCTGCCTCAGAAAGGGGATGGGTTGACCTGCACCCTTTCAGGCATCCCCAGGAGTTCAGCCTCCAGTAATGCTGAGCTGCCCAGTGCCAGCCAAAGCCAAGCAGAAACCCTTGGTTCTCTGGACTGCTGCACATCAGGCTCTTAAGATCTCATAAAGCCACTTCTAAAGCATTCTCTATAGGGTTGTCTGTTTAAATGTTTAATTTAGGGACTAGCTAAGAATAATTTAGCAGCTGATTGAGAGAGATGCCAGTTCTGCTGTTCCAGGATTGATAATCCATAATGCACACATGTTATTGCTATTGTAGCAATGTTATATTGTGGGTATGAAGTAGCAGCATAGTTTTCTGTTGAGCTTAGGCTACCTTGATTTTGTCAGCCTAATGATAACATTAAGGACTATTTTAAGGAACTTGTTTGTGAGTGTCTTTCTGTCAGCCTGATATTGTCTTATGTAAAGATATTCCTGGGAAATAGAAGTTGTAGCCCTGATGGAGGCTAACTCTGAGGTAGATGGGAAGATATCAAGAAGAGAGCATCAGATTAATTTTTTAGCCACTAAAAATAATTGCTGCCCTGCTGTTCACGTGGAAGAGCCAGTTCCATCGCTGAAGCACAGGGGAAATTATGGGATGTGCTGGTTACTGTTAGCATAAAACAAGACTGTGCTTCCTTTCTGGAGCAGTTTCCCCTGTGTGTGATCAAGGTGTGATATAACCAGAGTGTGCTCAGACTGTGAACTTTATTTCCTGGCCTTGACATGACTTGGGGTTACGAAAGCAAATGCTCCTGTCACAAAATGTGGCCTGTCTCTATTGACTCCAGCCATTTTGTTCTGTGCCTTTCACAAACATCTTTTTGATTATGATAGTGCTATTTACAAGGTTATTCTTTATATGACTTTCTTCCTCCTCTCAGGCAGTGTCTTTGTCCTCAAAGGTCCTGAGGTCTGAGCTTTCATATATTAGAAGCTCTCATTCTTTCTCATCTGCTGTCTGCGCAACAGCTTCTGATCAGTCATTTGAAATCACTGATTTCAAATCTCATTCTGCTAGTTGTACCCATTACGTTTCTATTCCTAATAGCCCCTGGGTCTTGTGGCGTGCAAGATCTTTAAATCAGACATCAGTTTCAGTATCTTTATCCCAATTTTGTATTGGGTAGACTTGAGGTATGAGAAAGAAACTTGCTTTAAGATGTTAATGGGCATCTTTGGTATTGATGAGAGGTGCCTCTCATTGGCTGCGCAGTCAGTGGCAGTTTTGGATGTTCTGTGCTGGATGGGGGCAGGAAGCCCAGATGCAGGCATATATCAAATGCAAATCAGATCCATGTTATTTCTACAGACTAAAATAATAATGGAAAATACTGGAAAAAGAGCTGATCAGTCCAAAATTGCTACAACATTGTCATGTTCATAGGAACTAACTCTTCAGATTCCCTTTGAAGCCCACAGAGAGCAGTGGACATGTTTTGGGCATGATTCTTCTTCTAAAGTAGCTATCTAAAAGCAGGACAAAGCAGCTGCTCTGGGAGTGCACCTACTTCTTTGGCTGAAACCAGGCTGGGTTCATGCTTGACATGCACATGGGATGTTGACATCCATGTTGACATGGGAGCTGCCATTAGAGGAGAGAGGGGACAGTCAGTGTTGTCCATGGGCACAGGTCATGTGGAACTGGAGGCAGGGCTCACTTGAGTTCTGCCCCATCTCTTGTCCCCTTAATCTCCTTCAAACATACAGCAGCAAAGAATTACTGGAACCCAAACAGCCTGGGAGAAAGCACAAAGCTGGATCCTGTTCATTTAGCCAAGTGTATGATTTGAAAACAAACAAATGCTTTCTTCAAAACAAATCCAGTACAGCAATTTATTTGCAAAATTCCTAAAGTGGAGCAGAAGCCACATAAAAGCTTTGAGGCTGTGGACCAAATCAAGGGTATGTTGTATTTAGCAGATGCTAATAGATAAGCTACAGAGAGAGTATAAGGGAAGGGAAAAACACGTTTCTGTGGTTGGGAAGACAGCACATGTGTATGTCCGGTATGTTTCAGTGATGTCTCCTTTTGCACATGTAAGACTGAGCACATTAGTAAAGGATGCATCACGTTTACTGATCATTGCACTAGCCAAATCCAGAGCACTACTGAATTCCTTCCACCAGTGGCCCCTTGCAGACCACAGCAGCAGAGCCTGAGGGGTAGCTGTGCTGTGGTTTGGGTATGTTCAGAGGAACGTTGTTCCCAGATCCAAGTGCCACTGTTTGTACATTTCTTGTTATTTGCAGAGCTGTTGTTAGTAAGTGTTATTTCAGGAGTATCCCATGGGCTGTGGTGCAGAGCTGGGCTTTGTGCGGCCACAGAAGAAAAGGTTAGGACAGTTGCTTTGAGGTTGCAGTTTGCACTGTGGTTTGGCTAATAGCATACTTGGAGTGACAAGCTGTTTAACCGCATCAGAAGCATTTTCTGTCACTGGGAAGCACTGGTTCTGTGGGAAACTGTTGTCCAAAGCAATTGGAAAGACAGTGTGACTTCGGAAAAACCAAGCCCAAGGCCATCATTTTGAAATGGTCTAAACCAACACAGCAATGGTCTTTCATGTGAGCTGCAACTTTGGCCTTGGAAACTTAATGACTGAATACTGGAAGTGAAGAAAAGCAATTTTCATCATGAGGAGTGCATGAAAAATTGCACCTCCTTATTCACACTCTTCTGCTGAGACTTCTCCCTGTACTTAGAAATATTTGGCATCATCTTTGGATAAATACCCACCTTTGATAATATTCCAGGCCTGCACCCGGGTCAGCCGACTCATGCAGTAATGTCTGGCTGGTAATGGACTAAGCAGGTGACTGGGAACTACTGGTTTGCTCAGCTAAAAACTCTGTCCTGCTTTTCAGGAAATTCCTACCGCGGAGGTGGTTAGATTTATTAGGGAAGATGGATTGGACTGTGTTTGCTCATGTTGTTAGAAGAGGGTTAAGGGTGTGTGGGGATGACTTCAGTGCTGTTTTATCTGATGGAGTCTGCCATTGCAATCAGGGAATTAGGTTCTCTCTCTTTCTCCTCCAAAGTTTATTTATGGATTTGTGGGATGAGAAGAGTCTTGATGCAGGAAGCACAGTGCAGCCTGAGAGCACCTCAGGTTGGAGCAGATGTCAGAGGGTGCTGGCTTTCTGCCTTTGCTCTCACTTGGTGCTGCACACGTTTTAACTCAATTGTAACAGTTCACACATCTTCAGAATGGAGTTTGTCATAACCGAGGAACTGTGTCCCATCAAGAGAAATACAAACAGAAGGAAACTCAATTCCTGAGTTCAGTTGTCATCATGAACACTTCACACAACCCTGGGTGCTCTAAGCTCTCTAACAGTATACATTCAGTGGGAATCTATTGCTTGGTGCTGACATGTGGGTGTTTGTATCGTGGAACTGAGCTGCCACTCACTGAGCACAGCAGTCTGTTACTGCAGTGTTTCGTCATACAGAAAGAGGTGAGGATGAATCCATGGCTCCATTATGTAGTGAAGATGATGTATCAGAGATGCTGGTCTTTGCAGTGGGTTGGATCCATGCCATGTTAGTATTCATGTGCCGTGATGTGTTTGTACTGATACGCTAAATCTGAAACTACTGGGGTGGAAGAGAGCCTTGCATCTATATGGCAGATAATATCTATTTCAGGAGGAATGTAGGCATCTGAATCCATCAGCAGAACACTTAATTCACTACTAGTGTGGATGTTCTGTTGTTAGCAGAGGTCACTTGATTGACAGAGAAAGGAAATGCACCAGGAACTGGTACTGAATAGAAATTGAAGTCCCTGCTTTTGAGGTGTCTGCTTGGTTTCATCTTTAAGAAGAAACAAGTATGAGTGAGAGAATTTATATTAAAATTTATATCTAAGATTATTAAATCCTACTTCACAGACTGCAGATATTAATATCTAGACCATGGTACTAGATAATCTCCCTGCAGGGAGTGGTGTTTGAACCATGAAATGTCAGTGTTCAGTTGTAGGAAGAATGGTCTTAGGGTTTTGCAGCTCTGTG